GAGGCCAGCCTGGTCTACAGAGCGAGTTCCAGGACAGCCTCCAAAGCCACAGAGAAACCCTGTCTCGAAAAAAAGCTAAAGCAAAAACAACAAAAACGACCTGTCGATCAAGGCTTGAGCGCACAAGAAATGAGGCTGAGATCAAAGCCCAGGCTGACCCCAGCCCTGTGTGCCGCGGGAGCTGAGGAGGTGTGGGGAGAAGAGCAGGGGCCAGGCCAGCCTCCCTGGGGGCCTTAACCTTCGCCTCAGGGGCAGCAGCAAACCCTACCCCCTCCCATCCCCAGCAAGCTGTGACTGAGGGATGTCCCCGGCATCACCGCGCGTCCTCAGTGCTCCTGAGTCTATCAGACTTTGCCTCATGGGCGCACGCTGTCTTCCAGACATGTCACGCATACTCAGGACAGAAAGAATGCGAAGGTTGGACTGAGGGGAGGGGCAGCTCAGTTGACAGAATGTTTGCCTTTCATGCAGAGCCTAGGGCCTGCTCCCCAGCACCCCGTAAATCAAGCCCAGCGGAACACTCCTGCAGTCCCAGCAACCAGTAAGAGGATGGGAGTTCAAGGTCATCCTTGGCTACATAGCAAAGTTGAGGATAGCCTGGGCTACATGAGATTCTGCCTTAACAAAAATGTATGAGGGGGAAAATGATTGCCAAGGCCTAGTAGTACTTGACCTCATTAGAAAGGGAGGGAAAGCTGCACGCAGGCCTCACTAGGGACTCCCTGGCTCAGATGGGAACATGACGGGGGGGGTGTTCTTCCACACTCTCCTGTCACAGTGGGAGAGGAGAAGATTGTGGGACAAGGTGTTATCAGTCAGTCCAGGGCTTTCACAGCAGGTTTCCATGTCCACCGCCCTCGTGCCTGATGCCATATCCAGCCTGAGGTGCTGAAGAGCAGCAGAGATCAGCTGTCTCTACTGCAGTGACTAAGGGTTGTTTGTACCGTTTTGTTGTGGGGGGGGCGGCAGTGTGTGAGTGCATGCCTGCATGTGCCTGTGTGTGTGCGTGTGCGCTCGCGCTCGCCCGTGCCTGCCTGCCTGCCTGCGTGCGTGTGTGTGTGTGTGTGTGTGTGTGTGAGTGCCTGCCTGTGTGTGCATGCCTGCGTGTGCATGTGTGTGCGTGCCTGCGTGTGCGTGTGTGTGTGTGAGTGCCTGCCTGTGTGTGCATGCCTGCGTGTGCATGTGTGTGCGTGCCTGTGTGTGCCTGCCTGCGTGTGTGTGTGTGTGTGTGTGTGAGTGCCTGCCTGTGTGTGCATGCCTGCGTGTGCATGTGTGTGCGTGCCTGCGTGTGTGTGTGTGTGTGTGTGTGTGTGAGTGCCTGCCTGCGTGTGCCTGCCTGCGTGTGCGTGTGTGTGTGACGTTTGCGCAGCTCAGAGAACAACTTTGTGGAGTCAGTTCTCTCCTTCCACCTTCTGGGGATTGAACTCGGGTCTCTAGGCTTTCAGGCACCTTTAACTCCCTGGGCCACTGCCCTGACCCCTGGGTCCGGAAAGGCCTCCTGGCTTGCTCTGAGTTGCTGCCTCTCGCTTCCTTGCAGTGTAGTCCCTGGTCACTTGGTCCCCTCGCTGGGTCTCTGGCACTTGCCTTTGCTGGCTCATAGGGCAGGATTCCCCCACTGACACCGGCATCTTCCCCGAGTAAGGGATGACGGCATCACAGGCTGGTAAGGTCTGATGGTCACTTCCAGGCTTGTGCCAAGGGCTCCGCCTCCAGAGCTGACCAGGGGAGAGTTATAATTATCCCCTGGTGGCTGTAGGGCTACTGAGGGCCAGCCCCAGCCCCGCCCCTCGTCCTTCTCAGGGCCCCTGGGGCGGCCTGCCTGTGTCTGCCCCATCAAGGCTGACATTGCCAGCCGGGTGATGGGGCAGCCCAAGCCTGACGCCTGCTCAGTTCCAAGCTTGAGAGGAGTCTCCTCGTGCCAGGTGCTGCTGGCCCATCCACACAGGTTTAGACACACGGTGACCAGCTGATGGTTGGTTAGCTAGGCCACAGACCAGCTGGGCGCCCCCACTTCAGCCTAGGGGCTGGGGTGTCAAAGGGGGTTCCCCGGCTCCTGAGGTCTAATTCTGAGTCTGCCTAGTCTGGCCATGTGGTCCTGGGCCATGCAACACTGGGAAGGTCCCACCTTCCCAGCCCCCACAGCGGGGGACCAGGGCGTCTTCTGAATGCCAGGTCTTGGAGCTGGCTTGGGCGGGGGCTTCAGTCCCCTCCAGCTGAAAACCAGGCTGGTGGATACAGAAGCAGTGTCTACGAATGACTGCTTCTGCCTTCAATCGCCCAATCTAGGGGGATCCCCCGTGAGGGCAGCAGCAGGCCAAATGAGCTTCACCATTAGTGATGCGTGAGGCAATTGCCATCACTCAAAACACACCCCTGAGCCAAGCACGGGGCGGGGCGTAATGCTTGTAATCCCAGGATTTGGGAGGCTGAGGCAGGAGCATAAAAAGTTAGAGGTAAGCTGGGCGGTGGTGGCGCACGCCTTTAATCCCAGCACTAGGGAGGCAGAGGCAGGCAGATCTCTGCGAGTTCAAGACCAGCGTGGTCTAGGAGAGCGAGTTCTAGGACAGCCTCCAAAGTCATAGAGAAACCCTGTCTCGGAAAAAAAGAAAAATTAGAGGCTGACCCGGTAACATAATGAGAGGTATGTGAGAGGCGGTGGGGAGGGAGGGAGGATTCACTGACAGTAGCAGTAGCTGTCACTTCTGGGCCTTGGCACCTCACCGCTCCCTACTTCCCACGTGGTGCCACTGGCGGCGTCCGGTCTTTACTGCCCCTGTTTGTCCCCTGACTCAGTGCCCACCTGGGCAACCGTGCCTAATGGAGATGCACACTGTGCAGACCCATTCACTCGCCGCAGCTGCGGGGGACTCTTTCCCACCCGTGGCATCCCCGGCCCAGAGTTGCAGCCGTTAGAGCACATGTGCTCAGAGCAAGGCAAAGCGATGAGCAGAGGATGGTGGCACGTGGGACGTGGGGCCCCCGAACAGGTGCAAGGGCCGGTGATGCAGAAACCCCAAAGAGCCAGGAGGAGGAGCGGGGTGCAGGGACCGTCCTCCAGCTGCCGGAGTTTCGGACGAGGAGGCTCAGCCAAGCTCCCGGGGTTCACGCCCGCGCCCCGCTCTCGCATGTTCCGCGATCCCCTCCCCCCTCCTCCCGCCCAGGCAGCAGCACGTGCCTGCGGGCGTCCGCCCAGCCAGCGCGCTCCTTGGGGCGGGGCCCTTGGGAAGCGGAGGGGCGGGGCTGGCCGGCGGCAGGGGCGGCGCTGGGACTTGTAGGCCGCAAGCCCTGAAGCCAACCGTCCTGGTCACCGGCAGCAGGGTGCTACCCAGGGGAAACTGAAGCCCCAGGAAGGCACCCAGGTGGCTCAAGACTTCAGGGCCAGGCAGCCTCGGCCCTCCAGGGATGAGTCAATAACGCGCTTGAACCAGTTTTCAAAAGACACGTCTTCAGGGGTCTTTGTTGGTCGGGAGCCTCTTTCCACCCCACCGTGGATGCACTCAACAGGCATTCCTGAAGGCAGGCCTCTCTTCCCAAGCTTGAGGGAAGCCTGCAAGAGCCCCCGCTGTCAGGGAGCTCACTCAGCAGGGAGCTCGTTAGGAGACCCCGAGCTCAGGAGGAGGCCCCGGGGAAAGTAAGCCAAACAGCAAAGGAATTGTGATGCAAGGTTAGAAACCAAGGCTGTGTAGAGCACATCCCAGTGGGACTCTGCTCTGTGGGGAAGGCACCGCCGCGATAGCGTCACTGGAAGGCGCCCAGGTCCGAGAGTTGAGCCTACCAGGAGGCGGCCTGCCTCACTGTCCTCCTCGTCCACCGGCTGGGCCAGCTGTAACCCCACTAAAAGTTGCAGGTCCTCAGGTCCCAATGTGATAGATGAGGACATGGGGGACACTGGATGACGGCTGTTTCCGGGCGCAGCGGCTAAGGCGTCGAGCCTGCTTCTGTGCCGAAACTCCTCATTTCTTTTTTAGATGCGGTCTTACGCCTTACAGGTTGGCTTCCGGCCTTCTGTGTAGCAGGGCATGGACCTGTAATCCTGTCAGTTCCCGAGTTTCAGAATCATCGCGTCACCACTCTGAGATTCAACCAGGGGCCCCGCGTCTGTCTGCATTTGCCCTGGGCCAGAAGAGTTCTGCAGGCTGGCATCCTGTCCCAGCCTTGGTGGTCCCCTTCTGCACATGGCATGCTATGCTGTCTGCTTGTTTTCCTGCCAAGGGTGACCCCACAGGAGTCCCCATGACAGTGACAAAGGAGCCCAGCCAGCTCTCCCCCATGGCGCCATGGCTCTTAACTTCCATCAGGCTGTAAAAGATATATTCACCGTGGAATACATAGGGCCTCGTTCCTACAGAAGCCCTGGGGTCCCAGGGGTATGCTTCTGCTGAAGCCCCAGCATAAAGTTTTGGGGACACCCCAGATCCCCAAAAGTATTTATGATGCGAATTATCTCTATATACACTGCAAAATAAACTTTGCATTTGCTTTCTTTGGCCTCAAACGTACTACATAGGTAAGCGTGGCCTATGGACCTCTGATCCTCCTTCCACCCCTTCCTGAGTGCTGGGTTTACAGGTGTGTGCCATCAGCCAGGTTTAGGCGATGCCGAGATCAAACGCACATGACCAGCTGAGCCACTACTTAGGACCTTTTAACAGATACGTTTCACCCCCTAGTCGCTTCGGCGTAAACCACCAACTCAGGCAGCGCACAAAACCTACCGGACCCCGCGCGGGCCGAGACCAGCTGATAACCCGCGAACACGCAGGAGCTAAGCCGACTCGCTGGGCCCACGTCTAGGCACGTGGGGCGTGTCTAGAACTACATTTCCCGGCGCCCCCCGCCACCGGGGGCGTGTCTCACACAAGGGGGCGTGGCCGCTGGGCGTGGCCGGCTACAAAGGCGGCCGGACAGCCCGCGGGGCTCCGAGTAGGCGCGTCGCGGCGGACCGGGAAGCGTCGCGGGACGGCGTTGGGGGGACTCGGATTCGGCCTGCGACGCCCCCGCATGCGCCGGCCGGCTCGGTAGCGGCGGCCCCGATGCTGCTGCAGCCCGCGTGCGCCCCGAGCGTGTTCCCGCGGCCGCCCGCCGCCCCCAGCGCCATGCACGGCTCGCAGAAGGACACCACGTTCACCAAGATCTTCGTGGGCGGCCTGCCCTACCACACCACCGACGCATCTCTCAGGAAGTACTTCGAGGGCTTCGGAGACATCGAGGAGGCCGTGGTCATCACCGACCGCCAGACCGGCAAGTCCCGCGGCTACGGCTTCGTGAGTGCCCGCGGCGCGCGCACCTGCCGCTGCCCCTCCCCCCACCGCCTCCCAGACCCGCCGCGCGCAGCCGGGACTCCGGGGCTTCCCGGGGCCCGTCGGCCCTTCCCCCACACTTCCCAGCCTCCCCAAATAAGCGTCAGCTTTAGCACCAGAGACTTGAAGACGGTTTCCCACTTCCTTCCACTCTGGTGTCCCCAAACTTCTCCTCCGAGAAAGTTAACGGTACTTACTCCTGGGCGGAACAGCCCGGCCGGTGGGGGCGGGGGCGGGGGTGGGGGACGCTGCCCTAGGGGGTTCCCTTGGCTCCGTCTCCCCAGGGCATTGTCGCTGCCCTTGAAGGCTCGGTTTCCCAGCACTTGAACTTAGGGGAAGGAGCCACAATCCCGGAGGCAGAGCAGACAGCCCCAAGGGTCCTGAATACCAGATATCCTCCTGCTCCTGGGAGGAAAGACCCGGGGATGGCCTGATGCCGGGCCGGGCCCTCCTCCCCTCTGTGTCCCGCTTCCCTCAGGCAGCCACCGAAGCCCCTGACCCTCTGCGTTCCCGCAGGTGACCATGGCGGATCGGGCAGCAGCTGATAGGGCTTGCAAAGACCCTAACCCTATCATTGATGGGCGAAAGGCCAATGTGAACCTGGCCTACCTGGGTGCCAAGCCTAGGAGCCTGCAGACTGGTGAGAGTTCCGAGTTTTTTCCCCAACCCTTCTTGTTTCTATATTCAGCCTTGCTATCTGTCCGGTGGAATACGCTGCCCCCGCTCCCCCTTTGTCCCAGAGTGGCGGCCCGCGATCATGTGCCTGTAGGGCCAGCCCAGGGCAGCCACCCCCAGCTTGGGAGCCTGGTCATCTTTCTTAGCAGTGTATGGTCCCAGGGATACCGATTCTCAAATGTCTGCCCTACTCGCGGGAAGGGAAGAAGTCAGTTGCTGATGCAGCTGGAGATTAGGCGTCACCCAGAGAAGCTGCTGCCACCTGTGGACTGGGTGTTTTCAGAGTTCGCTAGCCGGGATGGAGAAGGAAGCTAGCTACCCTTTGTGACTGGGGAGTGTGGCGTGGGATCCTGCCTCCCTGTGTCTGGCCCCGGGACCTTACCCTACAGTAGGCTGTCCCTAACTGTCCTCTTGTTCTAGGCTTTGCTGTTGGCGTGCAGCAGATACACCCCACCTTGATCCAGCGCACCTATGGGTGAGTGGATTGGATAGAGCTGGCGTGAGGGGGAGGGCCTTGAGGTGGGACAGCTGTGGGCTTCTGAGTCTTGGGTCTGAAGGACTGGGGAGATGGCTGTTTTCAGAAACAGGGTTGTGTTTTGGAAGTGTGGAGGAAGAGATAAGACCAACTGCATTTCTGTAACTCAAAGGGGAGCGCGCACGCACGCACACACACACACACACACACACACACACTCCCGCAAGCCTGTCACCAACTTGCCCCCACTTATGCGACACCTCAGTCAGGCGTCACATGACCATTTATGCCTCTACTTCCTTATCTGTACATTGAATGTGGGAACAGCTGTTCTGACTGAGCAGGGGGGTTCAGTCCACACCCACTGCAGGCAGCCCTCCCGCAGTGAACGCTAAGGCTGGACCTGGTGGGCTGGGCTCTGCCTGGGGTTCTCTCTGATGTGTACCGTGGAAGTAGTTATTGTGGGTCTGTACCAGGTGAGGGTTGATGTGGAAGTAGTTATTGTGGGTCTGTACCAGGTGAGGGTTGTGTGTGAGTGGCATAATAGGTGACTGTCCCTAGCTGGCTTTTTGTGTGAGTCACTTAACTCTGGTCCCATCTCCTTCCTAAAAAGAGTGGCAGGCTGTCAGCTGCTTAGGGGAGGGCTCACACACTTCAGGGGAATGATAGACCCTGCCACTTGGTTTGACTGCAGTCACCTGTTTTATACAGTGCAGACTGGCTGTGAATGGGCCAGGAGGGTGGGAACTCTGAAACACTCACACACACACATGCTCATACACTCACACACATACACTCACTCACACACATACTCACACACTCACACACATACTCACACACACACACACACCTTTGCAATGGTGAGCTTGCTAAATCCTGACTGCCAGGTTATATGCCTTAGCTTGATGGGTGAGGCAGAGTGGGGTGTCTGTCGGGGCTGGAGCCGGGCTTGTCCAGCAGTGGGTCAGATTTCTGGAAAGGGTGCAGCTTGCTCCCTCTAAGTGTGCTTGTGCGTGGCATGGCGTGGCGTGGGATTCTCCACAACTGTCCCTGGGGATTGGTGTGAGCTGAGCAGGGACATACCTATGGGGTGCCGTGGTCTGGACCCCAGCTGGTGTTTCCTGTCATGGTGTTGCTGTTCTCCTGGGAAATCACTTGGGGTGCTACTGTGGCAGATAGTGCCAGGTCACCTTTTTGGCCTGGGATTTATTCCCCATGTGTTCTAGGTTGTCTGGAAGGAGTTTGAGAACATCTCCTCAGCCTTGGTATCTTCATGGTAGCCTCTCCCCTGCTGGCTGTGGGGGGGGAGGTACCCATACTCTCTGGTAGCTTGCTGTGCTCCTGGGGCTGGGTTTAAGGCTGGGATATGCTCACACAGATTTGTTTACGCTGGGACAGGGCCTCCCCACTGGCTCTTGACACATAATAACTGCCTCACAATCACTAGTGCTTGGCCCCTGGGGCCCTCAGAGCTAGGTTCACAGCCTGTCTGTTACTTTCCAACTATACCCTCTGTAGTCTCCTTTTCTCACCTGGAAAATGGGGACACCACTACTTAAGGACAGCAGGCTCTAGTCTCCTAGAAAAGACCCTCCTCCTGTCCTTATAGATGGCTAGTGACTTACCCAGGGGGTGAGGTTTGAACCTGTATACTCAGGGTCACACTTGCTTTCTTTGAGAGTGGGCTTGTTCCAAGAGCCCTGATACTCAAGGGTGTGTGTGACATTGGGCCACAGTGATTCGTAACTAGATTAGTGGACTGGTCATCTAACACTGTGACTACAAAGTGGCCTCACAATGTTAGTAGGTTGCCAAGGAATGTAGACCCGAACGGAGAGGTGTGCAGAGAGACGGGCAACGTTGCCACTGGTCCTTGGGTGGCTTTGAAGAACATCCTACCTCCTGCCCTTGCCACACTCTGGGGGTGGGGGTGGGATGGCCAGGCCTCCGCTGCCTGGGCCATTGCTGTAAGTGCTTTGCCCTCCCAGCTTGGAAGCAAGAGTTGGGCTGTCAGCGGCCCCCTTTGTTTTTGCGAACAATTGGGCCTGACTCAGCGGTTGGTTTTGTCAGTCAGCCTTGGGCTGCCCTGGCTGAGGGCCTGGTGGGAGCTGGAACCCTGGCAACTCAGAGCCTAGAGGCGACTGCCTGGCTGTACTTTTTCCTAGGCCCTTGACATTCTGAAGACCCCAACAACCCACCGATAGGCCAAACCACTGTGGGGCCTTCACCTGTGTGGTTAGAACCACCCCTTAGCTTACAAAGAGGACAGAGCATGTTTTGCTCTTTGCCTGGGCCCCATCTGCATGCCCCCTGCTTGCCTTTGACTGGGCCTGTACAGCCTGTGCCTGTCTGTCATGTAACTGTATCTCTGGGACGAGACTTGGTATCTGGTAAAGCCTTCCTCAGCCATTGCAATAGCTTTTGCCAGCCTTCAGGCCTATGAGGTAATCCCTGGTGTGACCCTGGGCCTTCTCTCAAGGAGGTCTCTGCCAGCCCTGGGGCACAGTCAATAGTGCAGGTGGGAGGGGAGGGCTGAGCAGTTGGAGATTACCCCACCCTGGCTAGGTATTGATCTGACTTGTCAGGGCCTCCGGGGTCACGGGTGTCTGTTCACATTCAGCCTAAGGCTCATGGAGAGCTGAGGTTCGCCTCTGGCCTGGCAGCCCTTGGAACCTCTCCTGAGCTATATTTGAAGGGCCTCTTGCTTCAGCAGGCTGCTCTCTCTGTTCTAAGGGGACCCTTGCTGTGGCAAGATGCCCAGTGTCTGATCCTTTCTCCCCAAAATAGGGCCAGGCCCCAGGGGCTGAGGTCAGGCCAGGGTCACAAGGCTTCTGGGGGTTGGGCTGTACCTCCATACAGTAGCAGTGGTGACAGGGCCACGTTAAGGACTGACTGAGCATGGTGTGTGGAACATGTTGACCCCAAGGCCATGGAAAGCCTTGGGATTTGTCCTGAATGATGACACAACAGGCCCAGCAGGAAGCTGTGCCACCTAAGCTTGGGGCCACACAGACTGCCGGCCTGCCCTCTCCCCAGGGCCACTCAGGCCCATCCCCCCCCCCAGCACCAGCTGCTCGTGTGACAGTTTTTAGATGAATGTGGGGATCGCCTCCCTGGCATGGGCTTTCCCACAGTCGTCATTTCAGAGGCCGTTCTCTGTGGGGTGGACCTGGTACCCGCATGATAATGTCTGTCCTGACACCATGTCACCAGGCCTATGGGCTAAGGAGAGGTGACGGGGAGGAGAGTGGTGAGCACGCAGAAGCTGAGTGAGACATATCCCCAGCCCAGTGTCACCAGGACTACCTACAGTTACACAGGGTCTGCCGGGGTGCCCCTAGGGGAGTGAACCTGCTGTGTATTGAGGCTGACTGGCTGGTTGGGCCACATGCTGAAGCCAGTGTAAACAAGTGCTGTAGTGTCTGGGCCCCATAGGGTCCACACTGCCAGCCATTTCCTGCACACAGTGTGCCTAGGGAGGGGGTGTTGGGGAGGATTATTTCTGCCCCTCGGAGGGGTTTGCCCTAATTTCCCTGAGGCAGTGAAAGGTGAGGCCGGTGTGTGTGGTTGCAGAAGGGGCAGGTGGACCTGCTGTGGCTCAGGAGGCCCGTCTAGGGGTGCAGCAGTGAGGAGCTGCTGTAGGCACGAAGCCAGGCCCAGAGCAGCAGGTGTGAGCAGTGCTCACCCCACCACCTGTGGGTTGTCTTGGGGGCGGCCCTACTTGTTTCCTCCATCATCACTTCCTGTTGGTGCCTGTCTGGAGGCAGGCGTGGCTGAGTCTTGTCTGACCCCGAGGGCGTGCAAGCTGCACCTGTTGTTTGTCCCTGCCTGCTGTGACAGAAGCTGGCCTCCGTGCTGAGCACGGTTCCTCTCAGGGTTCGGTTATTGCCAGGTGCCGGAGGGACAGCCTCTGAAGCCTGAGGCTGAGGGTCCCTGGCTCAGTCTCCAGAAAGGGTTTGCAGAGGCTCAGTTAGCGCCGAAGATGTGTGCATGGCATGGCGGTCCCCGGGGTCCGCTTGATGGTCCTGGCCCAGAGGCCTCGATCTCTCGCCCCAGCCCTCCTTTAGGCTCAGCGTCAGCTGGGAGCAGGCAGGGACTCTACAGTGATTGTGATCCTCCCTTTGTGTCACCAGGCCAGGGGACCTAGCTCCACTGGTGTGAGCACAGTTTCCCTGCCAGGAGGCTTGCAGCAAGGGGACACAGACCACGCAGGATGGCACAAGAGCTGGAGAGGCAGGGGCTGTGGAGTGATGACACGGGAGCGGAGGCCAGCAGTGTGGGGTCTTTTTTCTGAAGTGAGTTGTTCCTGTCATGTAGCCCAGGTTGGTCTTCAACTAGCAGTGAGCCTCCTTTGACCTCCTAAGTGCTGGAATCAAAGTCATGCACCATCACTGCTTTTTTTTAGACAGGCGGGGGTCTTAGAGCTCACTGTATGTAGCCCAGCAGACAGTGAACTGGTTCCCTGCCTCTGCCTCCCGATTCTCTGGAACTGGGACTTGAACCCAGCCTGATGTGTGCTAGATAAGCTCTCTACTCCTGGGCTACACCAGCAGTCCCCTGCTTCCCAAGTGCTGGGGTTTGAATTTGTTTTGAGGACATCCCTCTACCGCTGGGTTGAGCCAGAAGGACTCCCCTTGAAACTGCTGCCATCCAGCCTGAGACAGTAGAATTACCTGGACCCCTGGCCCTGGGGAGAAGGGCTAAGATTCCAGAGTGGGCAGTAGATAGACGGGACCTTGGAGGAGGAGGAGGCCATCATGATGTATGACTTTGAATGCAGCTAACAGGTAGGATCTGGGCAGGCCCACGTGGATCTGCTGTTCTGGGCTGGCTCTCCCAATGGCTGGCTCTCCCAATGGCTGGCTCTCCCATTGGTGCGTGGTCTTCCTGCCCGCATCCACCTACCCCAGAGAACCTGGTGTCACCATCACAGGAGTCCCAGGAGGCCTGCCAGGCTGCCACAAACGAGCCACCACCCCACCCCTAAGCTGGGGCTGCTG